CTAATGTCACATAACTTTGCTGACATGTGGCCAACAGCAATGTTTTAATGTTCCTCATTATTAAACATTTGCACATAAATAAGTGACATAATATTCAGTACTTACTTTTCACAGTTTACTCTTCGGCCGCCTCTCTTCCGCCGTTTTTTTCGGCAAAATTATCCACACCCACCGCCGCGCTATGCATTCTGGGAATATGTTTGGCCACGAAGTGTGCTCCGCCACATCACAGGACGCATTTTGAGCAGCCTTTCAATTGGGACAGCCTTCGTCGCGTCGCTGTGACGTAATCGACCTTAAAATGCGGCCTTTAAGGCTGCAGACCCTCCAGCCGTAGTCACCTGAAATGGTTTCACTTCACAGCTGTACCTTGTCAGGGTTCATTTGTGGGATTTTTTGCCTTCTTTACGACGTTGGGACCATCAGTTGTGTTGTGCAGCAGTCAGGTTGGTACACAGCTGACAGCTCTATTTGACTACTGTTAAAATTCATATTATGGCAACAACCAATCAGCTAAGTAAAGAGAAAAAACAGTCCATCATTACTTTAAGAACTGAAGGTCAGTCAGTCTGGAAAACTGTTAAAACTTTGAATGTGTCCCCAAGTGCAGTCACAAACACCATCAAGAGCTACGAGGAAACTGGCTCACATAAAGACCGCCACAGGAAAGGAAGACCAGAAGTGATCACAGAAAGTGATGGAAGCCCAGGAAATGATGTTAGCTTTATAATGGACAAATATTCATTCTCCTTTAGTTCTGAAACATCCACATGTGGACACGGAGGCAGAAGAAGTTTAACTAAAGGCAGTGGGAACTTAGGTACAATCTTCAGGTACTTGAGTAAAGTACCTGAACTTGTGTGTTTGTTTTTTTTCTGACTACTTTTTACTTCTAATCCTTTTAAACAAATATCTGACCTTTCTGCTCCGTACATTTTCAAAACAGGCTCATTACTTTAGGTTTAAGGCGTTTTGGTTGAGTTACTATTTCATCACTGTGAGCCTCCAAACATCAAACTGATTTGAGCCTAAACAGAAACATATGAAAGGCAGTTCTGTTCATAATAATCACCAGAGGATGTAGCATAAAAAGAGATGATGTGTGCCAAAGTCAGAGATTAAACATTTTTCCTTTTTCCCACAACACCTGAACGACTGCAGGTGTCCTTAAGCTGTGTTTGTGGTACTTTTGCATCCAGCTAGCTCTACAGAAGGAGAGCTAACAAGTGTGTCAGGTATGAAGCGTTTCTATCAGCTCTACAAACATCAGCAAACACACAAACTGTTTGTGTGCAGTTTGTCTCACAGTGTGTTGCAGCTAAAGATCCAGCTGTTATATTTCACAGGGAGAGAAAAGACAGAGCTAACTTCACTCAGAGATGGAGAAAGAGAAGAAAGAGAACAGGAGAGGAAGAGGAGAGCTTAGAGTTAAAGGAAGGATGCTCATTTAAAGCTCACATGGAAGTTAATCTGTACATGTCACACAACTCAGGAAACATCTGCTCAAATCTGGTTAAATTCAGGTGTGTCCATCCACAGAGAGCAGCAGGTCAGCTGACCACAGCCTGTACACTAAGAACATCTACTGGAGCTACAATAGAAATTATTCTGAGTGTGATTCTTTTCCCCACACTGAGCCACTACAGCGGATTTTAGGTTCCCCACCTGCTGAATCCACTTTAACCTCTGACTGTTCACATTTTCCTGTTTAGAGACAAAGTCATCCTCTACAATGTAGCAACAGGAAGTAGAAATATATTTTTATTTTCCTCCTTTTTCTTCTGATTCAAGCTGAAAATAATGATAATTAAAATCAGACTAAAGTTTGTTTCCCATCTACTGATATTTTATTATTATATTAATATAGCACCAGATTCAGTGAGCTTTGAACAAAAGTAGAAACGACCTCCAAGGAGCTTCTTTTAGTTTCTTTCTCTCAGTACATTTCAGAGCCACTACTTTTACTTGAGTAAAGAAGTTGAATCAGTACTTCAACTTTTACTGCGGTATTTTTTAACAGTAGTATTTGTACTTCTACTTGTCTGTACTACAGAATGTCTGTACTTTTGTCGACTCTGACAAAAGGCAAGGCCTTTAAATGAGCTGATGTGTACAGCAAAACAGAAAAAGAAACCAAAAACAAATGCAAACTCTAAGCTCACTGGGTGAGTAAAAAGAAAGGACTCAGGGTAACACTGGGAACTGAATAGTACACTCACAAGGGGTGACTGAGAAAATATAAGCACACAGGAGGGTGATAAAGGAAGGGGAAACACATGAGAACACAGCTGGAGTGAATTAGATATTTAAAAAAAATCATCGGATGAAAACTGAACACAATGCACATGAGACCAGGACTATCAAAATAAGACAGGAAACACAACAAACACAGAGATGCAAACTAGACACTTGGGACTGGAGATAAGCAGACATGAAGACACATGACAGACTGGGGAGGAGACAAAGGGAGAAACAAAAAGCAGGACTTCGGATACAAGACAAGAGAAGGAACAAGGACAGCCAGGGACTCAGAGCACAGAGACCAGATAGTGACATGTAATAATCTTAGTAGTAATGAATAAATATAAAAATTACTGTAAAAGATTACTGATGAACCATTTACAGATTTGAAGCAGGGATGGGTGGGTAATTTTAAGGATGGAAAAAAGATGATAGAGAATATATTCACTAGAAACAACATGTCAGTTCATAACACGTCTTTTATCATGAGATGTTGAGTTTTCTGATAAAACAGAATCATAAACAAAGTTTTCATGTAATATCCAAACACACCACACAGAACACATTTATATTTCTAAGAGTGATTGTATTTCAAATGTGTCTTATATATTAAAATAATTGTAATTGTTGAAAATTAGCAGTAGCTATAAACCTATGTGCGGTACATCAGTCTCATGTCTTGCACTTGAACTATGTTTAACTGCACTGTCCCTTTTAAATAAATAAATTCAAATATATACTTTTCAAAAAAAATTGTGTTTTCTGTTCATAATAAATTACTTTTTACAGGAACATCTTTTGAATGGTGAAAAGATCTGTTTTATCTTTTCACTTTTATTTTTAATAAGTAATAATATGATACTCAATAAACAACTATTTATATCATTAATTTAATAATTAGTTACTGATCACCTCCTGTCTGAGTTTGATCCAGCTCACCTGCTGTGTGTCTCTGCCTGGACACTGATGACATCATGAGCTGTGAGCTCTGTGATTGGCTGCTGTGTGTTAGAGCTCAGCTGCACTTTCAGTCACTCAGAGACTCTCACACACTGTGAGGTTCACACACACAGACACACACTCAGAGTTTAACGGTCAGAGAGCTGCTGATGAAGATGAAGGAGCTGCTCCTCTTCCTCTCCTGTGTCCTCTGTGTCTCTGCTGACGGTGAGTTTGTCTCTGTAAACAGCAGGTTATTGATCAGGTTATTGATCAGGTCACTGATCAGTGTTTGATGTGTTTCAGTTCTTCATGAGGACATTAAAATCGCTGGCTGTTCAGACTCTGATGGAGAGGACGTGTATACACTGGATGGTGAAGAGCTTGCCTACGCAGACTTCAACAAACAGGAGGAAATCTACCCTCAGCCTCCTTTTGTTGATCCTATGACTTACCCAGGAGCTTATGAACAAGCTGTGGGTCAGCTACAGATCTGCAAACAGAACCTGAAAGTGGACCAACATGACTTCAGGGATATCCCACTGGAGCGAGGTAAAAAACTAAATAATAAAATGATATTATTGAGATAAAATCTAATACTTATCTCAATAACAAATATAGATATTTCCAATGCATCATTTCGAACGGATAATGAACTATTGAGGAAATTAATCAAATTTTATCAATAATTATTAGGTTTTTGTGTTTTAGGGTTGTACCCTTTGTGCATTAAGCTGTTAGTATGCCAGCTTCATTTGCAGTGTTTGTGAGAGTGATAACAACAGTTCATATCTGTTTCATTCATCATTCTGAACCAAAGAACCAAAACAAACAAAAAACAAAGCATTGGCCATGCCTGCACCTTTTTTCACTGTTAGATTATATTGATCAAAAAGATATACTGGATATTTATATGTTTCCCTTTAAGGTTTTTTTTCACGCATTTTCTGATTGAGGAGAAACTCAGTGGAGCCATTATAAAAGATTATAAAGCTTATGTTTTATTAAAATTAACTTTATATTGTTATGTCTCCCTGTTTAACAGGGAGACCGTCAGTAATGTTTTACTCTGTTGAACTAAGACCAAAAGAAATAAAAACCTGGATATGACACTTTTTGGGGGACATCGCCAACATAACTGATCTTTAAAATAAAAGATGTATAAATCAATTTTGGAAGCATAGAGATGGTTCAGTAAGGTTTATGTAAGCAAATGTGTGAATCATTTCTTAAACAACAATTAGAATTATGAGGGAAAGCAGCAGTAACGATAAGAACTGTGTTTGTGCACAGATGCTCCTTCAGCTGTGATGATCTACACCAGAGATGAGGTGGAGTTTGGAGAGGAGAACACTCTGATCTGTCACGTGACTGGTTTCTACCCTGCTCCTGTCAACGTCTCCTGGACCAAGAACGAGCAGAAGGTCACAGAAGGATCCACCATCAACGTTCCCTATCCCAACAAAGATGGGACCTTCACCCAGATCTCCAGACTGCAGTTCACCCCACAGCTGGGAGACGTGTACAGCTGTACAGTAAAACATCTGGCCCTGACACAACCACTGACCAAGATCTATGGTGAGAAAACTTATTTAACCTGAGAACACTGACAGAGGGTTAGGATCACTGACAGTTTTCTGTGTTAGAAAGAGGTAACTGTTTACAGATGTGCATGAGTGAGTCTTTCTTTTTTCTGTCTTTCTGTCTCCAGATGTGGAGAGGATTAATCCTAACTGTTTAACCCTTGTTACTCAGCTGACAGCTTGATAATGTTGTTGTCTGTCTCCAGATGTGCAGGCGCCTCCTCAGTCTGATCCAGGTGTTGGACCCTCTGTGTTCTGTGGAGTGGGTCTGACTGTGGGTCTGCTCGGTGTGGCCGCTGGGACCTTCTTCCTCATCAAAGGAAACGAGTGCAGCTGATTGGCTGCTTATATTACTAATGTTTGATTACAAAAGTCTTTAAAGTGATATGAAATATTGTGAGTGACATGTATTTTATGCAGTGAAATAGAAAAAAGTATGGGCAGGTCAGGAAACCCTTTGAATGATTAGACTTTCAGTAAATAACACAGTTTCCATTATTTTATAACCCCAAAGAACAAAAACAGTCACCTCAAAGTCTACAAGGATGAACACTTCTAGTATCACAGAGAAAAAATATAACCCTGTTTAAAAACTCCCATTCAGTCTGTCTTTAATCTATCTGTTATCGTGTCATAATAAAAAAAGAGGTTAAACAGAAGTTCCTCCACTCCACATGTCCAAGTGTCCCTTGGCGAGGGAGTGAACCCAGTTTGGTCTGGTGCATTAATAAGTTCGTGTGTGTCAGTAACATGCAGCTCATAAGAAAGAGATGATTGCAGAGAGAATCAGTGAGAAATGAATAACTGTGTATTTTGCTTTTGGGATCACCTCAACTGGACATCGACCTCTTTGGAAGAAGGTTTACCTTCTTTGATTCATTTATAGACAGTTTATGTGACCGGTTGCTAATTACTTATCACAGATTAACATTTCTTAGTGGTTTTCAGATACCTTTGTGAGGTGTTGTTCATGCATCACAGACTCAAACCTTTATTCTGGTTGTACTATGTTGACTCCAGTTTCCACCCTTCTGTAAATGTTTGAATGGCACTTTTATCTACAGTAATAACACAAATACTAAAATACAGTTAATTCCAGTATTCATTTATGCTTTTGTGACATGGAAAACTTGATACCCATCCTATCAAATAGAGTACTAAACTCTCATTTTGACTGGTTCTTTAAATACTCTTTATTTTTGTGTGACTGTATTCTTCAATGATAAAAGCAATAAAATACATATTTCAGATTTTAGCATCACATGTGTGTTTGACTTTACAATTTTCTGTAAAGACATCAAGATGCTAACCCGGGAATACACATGCACACACACACTCACAGGGTGATAACAATCTCAAATACACACTATTTTGTTGGGGAATAATTGTGGTGTCCATGTAATATTTAACAAAAAGTATAACTCTGTCATAGTTTTCGTATCTAGAAGCCTTTCTTCCTGTTTGTTGATTTACGGTTAATTCTACCACTAATTTAGAACAGTCATATATTGTTTTTGGGACCTAGCACTGTTAAAAAACAAACAAAAACCACCTTTTCTTCTTATATTAATCCTCCTCCTTGCTTATAGTCAGTATAGTCCACTTCACAGTAATTAAGTTCGTCTTATTGTCTGCCCCTCCTATCCCAGCAAACTCCTCTGTCACACCAACCCTCTGCATGTCCTCCTTCACTGCATCCATGAACCCACTCTGTTTTTTTTTTTTGTCATCCACTCTGCCTGCTCTGCACATGTGCAAGACATCTCAGTCTTTCTCTCCAAAGCATGCATCATGGCAGGTCTCATTGACAACTTGTGAACCTTCTCTTTCACTCTTACTACTCTTTTCTGTCACAAATCATCTCTGAACTCTGTCTCCACCTGCTCCACCCCTCTGCAGGCTCTTCTTCACCTCTCTGTGAACAGCTGACCCCAGGAATTTAAACTCATCCTGTTACCTCCTGCTCTGAAAAATAAACACATTTTTCCCAGGTGAATTATTTTGAGACTGTATAATTACTAAGGGAGATAAACCCTTTATAAAACTAAATAAATAAATAATCAGCAGAAACTCAAGATTGTTTTTCAGCTACAGAAATTCAACAGAAAGAGCTCAAAGAATGTGTAGCTTTGATTCATTAGGTATCTGATGCCTCAGAGATTGTGTTCATGGGTATGTTGATAAAAATTAGAGTGCTCTTGTGTTTATTATAGTTATTGTACATAAAGCTTTTCATTTCAATTTAGTCAAAAAATATACCAAACACACTAAAACAGAAAGCTGTGAAACCAAATTCAAAGAAACTTTAAAATATTTTTTATTTCTTGAACAGACTGACACAGCTGGAGTGCTTTAAATGTTTTTCATATGATTTAAGTAATCTGCGTATTTGTGAGGATATAAATTGTATTCGTAATAGCAATGATATAAGTCGGATGCATTGAAATAATGCTGCTTTTCGGTCATCTGATAATGAAATCAGATGATAAAACCAATAAATGCATAACAAAATACAACCAGAGCTCTGATTCTGTTCTTAGCTTTTCTTAAACAGAAACATTCAACTTATCATGAGCAGATGTATCAGATTGTTCTTCCTGGTAACAGATGACTCTGTGGTCATGTGACCTGTCCTCTGTTTTTAGAGCAGCTCTCAGTCAGACTGAGTCAGTTTGTCAGGAGAACTCAGGAACATGGCTTCATCCTTCCTCTGCCTCAGCCTCCTCTTCATCAGCCTCAGCACAGCAGGTACAGATACACTCACTAATCAATACATTCATTAATACACAGATCAGTATACTGATCAATAATTGGATCACTTGTCAATACAAGCCATTTGACACCCACCCTGTAAACAGCAGGTACGATCAATACTCTGAGGTTCAGTGTGATTCTGTGTTTTTCTTCAGATGGATTTTTGGAGTATAATGTGTGGCGCTGTGCGTTTACCTCCCCTGACCTGAAGGACATCGAGTTCTATCTTTCTTACAATTATAACAAAATTAAGTACGTCGAGTTCAGCAGCAGCTTGGGGAAGTTTGTTGGATACAATGAAGTTGGAGTGAAGCAGGCAGAGGCCTGGAACAATGATCAGGCACAGCTGGCTGTATGGAAGACTCAGAAGGAGGCGTACTGCAAACACAACATTGGTATCTGGTACAGCGGCTTTCTGCCTAAATCAGGTGAGTGTGCTGGTCTGTGTGACATCATCAGGTGTTCATGTTAACATCACACTGACCAACACTGAATCCCTAACAAAAGTACTGTTCAGGTTGGCTTATATAAGATGCACTGTAAAATCATACGAACTTTAGATTAACATCACGTTGTTTTACTCTTGTGTCATTTTAAAGATGATCCTCTGAACTAGGGCTGCATATTTACTACATTATTAATTCATCTATGTTTCCTATAATAATAAGATTGTTTTTTCAGCATTAAGCTGCTTGACTCATGACTATCAGTTGATACACTTTTTTTTCCCATTTTATGAAACCAGGTAAGCATAAAGCCTGCTGCCTCCTGGTGGTGAAATACTACTATTGCAACTATTACTTTGTTTACTGCACCCTACAGAGCTCAATAGAGCCAGGCTTGAAAATTGCACTCCATTACAGAACATCAATTAAAAAGGAAAATATTAGAAAATATGTAATGTTATGCTAAGAGTTTATGTTGTCTCCAAACCCAAAAGAACTGAGGGTGCATTTGAATACACACAGTGTTATTCTTTACAGAGACTCATTCCAATTTGGATATTTGTGTTTGTCTGAAACATGGCTGCATACTAACTCTCTGCCTGGATATAAAACAACAGGACAAGATAGAGGAGAACATCTAGAGTGTAATCACAGCAGATAAAAATCTCATGGGTACAAACATTTCAGTACCAATCTTTGATCCATCAATATTTTCTTATAACTGAATTTCAACAAATGCATAACTGCTTCAGGCTATTACATGAACAAATGATGAAAGTGTCACTGTCACAGAACATTTAAATACATCTTTACATTGATTTTTATATTATTATACAGTATAACCCACACCATATAACAAAGAACTGAATTAAAACTGAATATAAAAATTATATACTATATATATATATAGTATACTTCACTTAATCAACAAGTTTGCTCTGAGTTTTAACCAAATCTAAACTGAAGACCTTAAATGCCACAGACATATTTCATACACAACATCAGTTTCATCATTGTTGAATGTCATACATCATTATTTCCTTATTTCCCTGATTCCTGACTCAGAAACATTTTCAAATAAGAAAATTTCTGACAGATCATGTACTCTGTTTTATTTTTTTAAAACATCAGTTTTTGTGTCAAATATTTTAACTTTCTTTATTTTTTAGTACCTCATCAATCTCAGTAAAAACAATATTCACCAACTCAGTTATGACACTTTAAACCTTAGCTATGCTGGAAGAGGCACAATCTTCCAGTTCACAAGCATTTAGATAGAGGAACAGAAACCTTTATATTTAAAGCAGTGATGAAAAAAATCAAAGTAAGTACATAATGAATGTAAGAAAAACAGCTGCATGAAGGTGAAATACAAAGCATGTTTGGGCTCTTGTGGCTGACCTGTAACAGAACAGAGTCATTATCTAGTTTTATAGAGAACAGTAGGAGGACTTCCTGAAGCGTTCTTTGTGTCAGCCAGGTGGAATCAGTAATGATATCCTGTGACATCCACAAGACTGAAGAAGTCAGTTTCTATATAATACTGATGCAACAAACAAATAAAATACAGGTTGTTCATGTCTAACAAACAAGATAGAAAACAAAGGGATGCTTTCACTCTGAACAAAGACATTTTATAACTGCACTGCTAATTTTCTTATATAATATGCAAAATAGAAATTTAAATAGGAATTAATTAATTGATAGATTCAGCAGTTAATGCGATACAAATGAAAACACTCTGATTACGCAACAATATGTATATGTGGGGCTTTTTTCTAAATATTTCTGATGATTAACAAACTCAGTGAAACATTTATTTATTAGTTATTAGTGTTCAACCTGGTCTGAATGAGTGACTGTGCAAACAACACCCCAAAAGAAGCGTCTGAATCCTGACGATGAATAAATAAATAAAAGCTTTTGTAACAGGGTTTGTTAAATGTACTACATAAATGTCTTATAAGTAGTTTTACTATTAATGTATTAATGGCATCCACACATTAAAATGCAGTAATAAAATGCAGGGAACCACGTGTAGTGTTTTTTAAACTCCCTTTCTGCATGTCTCTGATAAATCTCTCAGCTTTTTAGGGTCAGCTTTTACAGACACAGACTGTCATCAACATCACAGAATATTCTTTTGTCACACATCAGGTGATCATTCAAACAGCTCTCTGACCCCCCACAAAAGGACAACGACTTATAACCCCAGGCCCAGATATCTTCTCTATCCCAAAGGAATTTGTTGTGTCTGGAACAAATAGTATCAGGCTAACCCTACTGCAATTTGTTCCCACTGTACAAATCATGGACAAACGTCGTTTGAAAACCTGGTATACTGAGCATTAAAGTTTCAGTGAATTGAGTTTACACAGACATGATTATCTCTTATTTCGCAAAACCTCCTCAGTTTGTTGAAATTATCCCAAACATTACTATTTTTTTTAAAGTACAATTTTTTGTTGTAACCCCCAAACTGCACTGTAATTTAACAACACTCATCTGCCTTTCTTATGCAAAATACAGAGAAATTATGGATTGCTCAAGACTTTTGCATAATATAAGAGTTTAAAGATGACATTTTATAGCTATTAAAGCTATCAAAGAATGTGAAAATTAATTCAGTTTAATTTATTTAGCACCAAACCAGAACAGTGGCCTCAGTGAGCTTTATATTCTAAGGCAAAAACCTACAATAATAGTGAGGAAATCATCAAGTCAAAGTTTGTTTGAAGAAAGCACCATCTCCTGGTGACACTCTGGATATGAGTGAAAGGAGTGTGATTATAGTGGAAAGTAGATACACCCAGGGGAAGCAGGGTGGCCATTTGGCAATTCTAAGTGGCTGCATCTGTAGCTATGACTGTGTATTTTGGTAAGTTAGAATAAGCTGGAATAAATTTGGTCAGCAACAGTAAAGGGGATGTAGGAATATCTGGCAAGTACTGGCTATGTACTAATATTGTCCCCAGTTAAATATGTCTGAGTGATGGGGTGAGGTGGCAAGATGGAAGCCTTATCATGTGAAGAAAAACCAACAAGCCCAGCTAAACTTTGTAACACAATTTTCCCAGAACAAAGTCATCCTCTATATAGTGCTTAAATCCTTTTCCCAGTTGTGGGCAATATTTGGCAGCTCATATAAATGGTACTTTAATGTAGTCCAAGTAAATGTATTTAACTTATATTACAAAAGGATAAAATAATTATTTCCTGCTCCTCCGTGAATCGCAACCTTATCGTGGTGGAGGGGTTTGTGTGTCCCAGGGATCCCAGGGGCTATGTTG